CTATCTATCTATCTATCTATCTATCTATCTATCTATCTAAAGAACTTTTTTTTAGCCTTAATACGTAATTTTTCTGACTTCCTGGTCGTTATTTAGGGGTCTTTGCAATCTAATAGCAGCTTAATAGATATAATAAGATACTTTAGGCTCAGAGATCTTCAGGGGCTGCTTTCCGTTCTCATGCTTTCTTAAATCAAATCTAACTATTTCCCAGTTTATTTGCTGCATTGAATCTAAGTGCATCGTGTTTGGACCCCTTTGCATTATTTCTTTGTCCTACTTTTTTAAGGTAATGATCTGGAAATGACCAGACCATCGATAAAAGTTGCGTATCCTTCATTTCTGAAGGCGCCCGTCCTAAAGGGGGGGTGGAGGTGGGGGGGTTAGGCCTTGACCTCTTACCGTCTCCACTGATGGTGAGTCGAGTCGCTCCATTGGAGCTCCCTCGACGTGGAGATACTAAATCAATCCGCTGCGCACCTGGAAATGCGACCAAAACTCAGATTTTAACGACATAGTCCCATTTTTAGACATTTTCTCTGAACACCTGGAGCGTTTTTACACATTTTGAACAAAAACGACACACAAAAAAGACAAACTGGGGAACTTTTTTCTCCCCGTTTCTTACTGCAGCAGCACCAAAGCGCGACCAGCAGGGCCGCCGACCGCATCCCGCTGGGTTCAGATCCCTCCGCTGGATCACCTGCAGGAAAGGTGAACCGGTTGGTACCAAAGCATCTTTCAAAGTTCCACAGAAAAACAAAATTCCTAAAGCAGATTTAACGGCAGCTGGTGGCGTTAAATCTTCAGGGAAACTCATTATTGAGCCGGTTAAGACCGACATTTCCCAGCAGTTTGATTCAGAGATGTGAGCTTGAAACGGGTGTGTCTCACCTGTCGAGTGGGAGGGGGGGTAAAAAGTGTCTGAGGCCCGTTTGAAGCTCCGCTTTGATTCAGGGCTCCTGTCTGAGCTCCGAGCGGAGACCTGAGGCTTTATCCCGGCCGCTGGACCCGCCTCTCACCTGGGATGGGAGGGACGAGAGGCCGCCACCCCGGGCCCGGTTCGCATTGGCCCCCCCTACCCCCTCCGGCCGGACCCCTGTGGGCCTGACCGGGGCCCGGAGGGGAACTATGTGTGTGTGTGCGTGTGTGTGCATGAGTAATAGCTCCATGACCGGAATGTCAGTCATATTTTCATGAAAGACCAAAAAAGAAAAGGAGAAACCAAGCCCAAACTACAGGTTTAAATCATTTAAAAAGGCCCAAAGAGCAGCTAAATTAATATTTTCTAAATTCATTCTAGTTACTTGGGGTCAGAATGAACCCCCAATATCATATTCTCCCCTGTTAGTCTTTTTTCTTTGGAGTTTTCCTGTCTGGTACCATTAAAAAGAACCTTAAAAGCCTCTTAAATTAAAGAAAAAAAGAGCATATTTTAACAGTTTGTCTCAAAGCGGTGAATGTTTCATTGTTGGTCTGTTTTCCCCCAAATATTTTGCAGGTTTTAGTCATTCAAACAGGACAAAAAGTGGCTTTATTCACATTGTCAGGATTGAAAGTGTAACGTGATGCATTGTAAGGGATTTTACATGAATACATTGAGAACGATGTTGAAGCGGCTCGCAGCTCCTGATGCTGCAGGTTTTCCTCCAGAGAACTCAGAGTTCTGCTGGTTTTCCTCCAGAATGAGGCTTCATTTCCTGGAAATCAGCTCCATTCCGCATCCAGAAATGAAGGAAACTTTGTGCTGATGTGCTGAAAACAGTTGACCAAAAGCTGGAACTCAGAGCTCTGAATCCTTTATTCTTTAAAAATGAACTAATTTTAAACAAAAAGGTGAAAAAGTGTCCATATGAAGCTATTATAATCCTAGTAACTCATGTGGGAATCCAATAATTTAGTAAAAGAAATTAAAATCAATCAGAATATTTTCTAATTCAAACTTTGAATTGTGCTTTTTTGCTCCAGAATCAGCTCTGATTTCCACTAAATGAGCTCTGTTCCAGCAGAAATGGGACCATGAGCTGGACAGAAGCACCTTGAGGACTGAAGCCGTGTCGTAATTAAGAGTGACGACCATCGCTGATGTCATGTCCCTGTCGGTTCCCTCAACATTGACACAGAAAAGAGGAAACCAGGCATTTCATGACTAAATCAGCATTTATTTGTGAAAAAACGGAAGAAACAGGCTGTGGCCTGCATCCAGAGCTATTAAAAGTTGCCATATTACTGAAAAGCACGAGGGAGAGACCAAAAAAAGGGAATTACTTGCAACTTTAAACTGAATGTGATCATTTCTGTCTGAAACCTCAGACTTCCTCAGACCTTTTTTCAGAGTATGACTGATGTACAGGGGGAATCGATGACAGCCGTCACAGACAAGAACACAAAGCCCGTCAGAAGGTCTGAACATCTCATCCAAAACTGTCAACAAAAGCAGAAATGCTGCTTGGCTGGTTCGCTGCACGGAAGACGAGCACGTCTGACTCAGCTTTTTTCTCTGGAAAACAGAAGAAACCTTCAAAAACAAAAAAAAAGAAAAGTGGGAGCTGTCAACCAGTGGGACACCTGGGCTCCAGTTTTAGCCTCAACTGTGACCCCAAAAGCCGGAATCTGGCCAGGAGTGACGTCTGGAAGTGGGGTTTTCCACCTGGAAGATGCTGTTTCTTTGAGGTAAAACAAAAAAAAAGGTGAACAATCACGGCAGCAATTATCCAAACGTCTGCAGCGTGACACCAAACGTAACCGGAGCCGCGTCGGCGCGCGTGACGGACGCACAAAGGCATTTCTGCCATTCCAGCCGGGCTATTTTCGGAAACAAAGCCCTAATCGGTGAACAGACACAAAGCAGCGATGACATCCATCAAGAACTTTTATTCCAAAAACAAAGTGAAACAGCGAGAAAACGACGGGGAGAAGCGGCATGGCGGGTCAGAGCGCGGCGTGCTGCGCCAGGAATGAGCGGATCCTCTGCAGCAGCTCCTTCTTCACGCTGTCTGGCACCAACGCTGAAAAACAACCACAGAACCGGGTCACAGAGGGTTCAGCAGAACCAGCTTCCAAAGCTAGGCCTCTTCCCCCCCAGAAGGCTCAACGAACCAAAGAATTACCCATGTTTGGTCACTAAAACCAGTGTTTGGGATTTAAATTTATGTTTAATCTATTCATTCAAGCATTTAAAAGATGAAATCACTCTGTTTTCTGTTTTTTTCTCCTATTGTAAGTTCCGTACAGTGAAATAATTTGATATTTTAAGAATTAACAATGAAGTCTGATTTTTATTTAAGGCTCAAACAAGCAAAACAAAGTAAAAAAAACCTGTTCAGATTTCTGCGCGAGAAATACACAGATTGAGCAGATAAACCATATACCACCCGTCACCTTTATCTTAAAGATGGATTGAATGAATAAATGCATCTAGTAAAATAGTAAACAGTCAAAGTCACACAGATTTTTTGCAGAAAACAGATTCTCTGATCATTAGAAGTCACTTCATTTTCAAGCAGCCATTTATGATTCAAACTTAAATATCTGCATTCATTTGCCTTAAAACGTTGTTTTGAAGAACAAAAACTCTGTTTTTAGACTGGAATCAGGCACAGCGTGTGTCCACTCTCATCTGAGCCTCCTCAGCTTCTTGTTGATGGCTGGAAACGGAGCTGGGGGGCACCAGCGCCCCCTATGGGGCAGAAATCAAACAAACCTGCACTTACAAGAGTTTTTTCCTCTGTAATTAACTAATCAGGATTAATGAATATGTTTTTTTTTAACTCGAAACAGAAGCATTCGGAGCCAAATCTTGGTGTCTCGTGGGAAAACACGAGCAGTCGCCTCGTGATGAGTTCATGACACAAAGAAAAACCGGATTTCATTTGTGGCGCCGCGGTTTGGATCCGCTCCAACTTTCCGGCTCGGATGAGCTACAGAATGTTTCATAATGTAAAAGAAAGCAGCCTGAAGGTAAAAATAAAAATAACCCCCCGCTGAGAGTCAAACGGCGCGTTGACAGGCCCTGAAAGCCGCCTAATCCCTTCTTTATCCTCACGATTCTCTCACCGGTCCGGCGGGTCTGGTCGGCCGGACTCTGGTTCTGGGGACGAGCCAGCTGCCATTAGAGGCTCAGCCCATTTCCCCTCAGGCCCAAACACCTGAGCGTGGCCCAGGTCCATCTGGATCACGTGTTTTGGGTCTTAAATACATCTTTATTGAAGAGGAGACACTGTAATATCTAACAACATCTAAACATGACATCATTCTGGTGTTTTCCTCTTTTTTGGATTCCTCAATTTTGAACGGCTGTAACTCCATTTTACAGGCAGAAAAATGCAGATATTTAAAGTTCAAGTGCAGATGGCAGCCTAAAATGCAAATTAAAACTCATTTTAATCATTAGAAAAAATATTCAGTTTGAATTTGAATGCGTTCTATGTATTCTTATCTCTTAAGAGATTTAAGTTGATGTATTAGTTGTTTTAGAGACAAAATAAGACCCTTTGTGGGTCATTCTGATGTGCTGTTAGTTACCCCAGCTCCTGCGTTCATCCCTGATTCTCAGAACTGAGATTGTAAAGCTGAAAACATCCATCTGATGAAAATCAGGTGGATGTAAAGGTAAAATTCTACAGAAACTGACCGGTAAATGCCTGATGACATTGACTGTGTGCAGAGTGTTGAAGTGAAGATTCAGATGTGAAAAGAGACTCACGCTCTGTTTTAAAATGCACTGAAGTCATTAGGTTGGCAGGATCTGTGAAAACTGGTTTCAAATCATTAAATTAATATGTTGCTTACTCTCACTGTTATTGGAGGTTTATTCCAGGTCATTTATTTTTTCTTTTTGAGTAAAAGAATCTTGAATCCGAGTCACTCAAACCCCAAATTCCCATTTTGTTTCTGTAAAGAGTTTTTTTTTAAAGAAATTGGGGGGATTTTTCAGGATTTTAAGAGCACAGGTTGTAAAGTGGAGCTGCTCGGACTGATCTGGGAGTGAGAGGCGTCATTTTTGGCTTTTTGAAATGACTCCAATGGTCTTTTGCGGGACTGAAGCTCTCTGTTTACCTCTGCCCTTCGGCGTGACGTCTGTGACCAGGTCCTCCACCGTGACGTGCTCCAGGCCCTTTTCTCTGATCACGTCTGGACACAGAGAACACAGTTTAAGCGGGATGGCCCTACGGGACCCCAAACGCACCACACACACGCACCTTTGCATTGGGCTTTGAGCTGGTCCTTCCATCCACACTCCACCAGCTTGGCCCTGAGCAGCTCCTTCAACCTGCGGCCACACAGCTCAGGGGTCAGAGGTCAGAATGCATCTGAAAGCCCGTGAAAACCGGAGCATTCCGGGAATTTACAGCCATTTAACTGCAGAGAGGGGATCGCTTACCGCTCCCGTTCTCCCATTTCTATCAGCTTCTGGTTGATCGCCGCCCTCATTTGGTAGTCTTTGCTCATGATCTGCTCGGAAACACACGGCCTCGGATTAAAAGGAGCAGGCACGAAGGGAAAAGCTGATAAACATTGCTAGGTTCAGCGAAGATGCGGTACATTTGTCAACAGCGATCAGCTGGTCCTTGAACACAACGGCACGCTCCACAGGACCTGGAGCTCAAAAGTTCCGCCCTCGTAACGGTTTCTTTTCTACACCCGCCAGAACAACCGAAAAACTTAGATATAGCTGCTAAAAAGTTAGTTTTAACATTGTAACATTAATCTATACTTCAGATTTAAAAAAACTAACAAAAAGGGATTTATTTGTAAAAGAAATACATCCAGAAGTCAGTTTCCCGTGGTGGCGGTCCGCCCTGAAATGGGTCCGTGTAGCGTGTGTCCAGCTGTGATTATCCTCCTCCAGCTGCTCCTGCCGTGCCGCGAACCATCATCTGGGAATCGGCCAGTTTTGGTCCCACAGCCATGGCAGCGTCTAACTACACCCTGAAGGTCAACAGGGGCCTTTTGGACCCGAACTTTGAGAGTTACCGGCTGTCTCTGGACGCCATCCCGACGTACAACGTAGAGCTGGATGCCGGTGAGACTCTGCTGTTAGCATGTGTTGCTAGCCGAGCCAAGCTGAGCCAGAGCCTTTAAAACCCTCATTCCCCAAGAAAGAAGGAGTAACAGCCTTCGTTATTTCATGGATAAAATCGAAAATAAGTAATCAATGCAACGTGAACGGGTGTGACTTCATTATAAGGTTAAAACAGGCGTTAGGGTAACGCGCATGGCCATCTATTTAAGTGGATTAGACCAGAAATGAGAGAGATTTGCACTAAAATAGGATCTTTGTGGACCACAGGAATAAAACACTAAATAAAATAAACTGTGACAGATAAAACCTGAAAAACATCACGCAGAGCAAAGCTTTAAAAGGAACAAGCCAGAAACACACAAATCAGTCAATGTGAGCACACAACTCAGACAAATGTGTCAGAAATAGGAAGCGTTTCACATTTAAAGCAACACAAACTGAGCAGGAAATATCCAGGGAGTCATTAAAACACAAAAAAAAGAAACAACAATCACATCTTTTAAAATCACAGCACTGCTCAAAAAGAAGAAAAAAACAATTCCAGTTAAAATAATCTAACCTAATAACCAAATCTTTCAATGTATTGATTTAAAATATGACCAAAGCTCTTTTGTCACTGTTCTTTAACCATAACCCTTAATGAGAGTTCCCGTTATCAGCAGGTTTGGTCTAGATTTATTTCTGCTTCCAGAAAAAAAGCAAAACCCGGTTTGTTCTCTTATTTTCTATCCATGACCTGCTGCAGCTGTGGAGGAGGTGAAGCTGAAGGACTCTCAGTACACGCTGGAGCACATGCGTGCCTTTGGCATGTTCAACTACCTGCACCTGGACCCCTGGTACCAGGACAGCGTGCTGTTTGTGGACTGCAAAGGACGGGTTCTGAATCTCACCGTCACCCTGGTGGGTTTTTACATCCTCCTGCTTCTCTTCCCCGGAATAGTTTTTACCTGGTAGTTTTTTGTCAGTCTTTTTTTTTTCTGGTCCAATTGGACTTGGTTTGGTCTTTATATGTCTATTTCCGGTTGTTTTGTGTGTCTTTGTTTCCTTTTTCTGGTAGTTTTGTGTCAGTGTTTCACTATTTTTTTGCTAATGAGGATTTTAAACCTCATGTTTTCTCTTCTCAAATCTCTGCCGACACACTGAGCTTCTCTGAGTAGTCAGAAATGCATCAAACAAAACATTCAGCCACTAAAACAGTCTTTTCTGTCCAGGAAATTAACAGAAACAAACAGTCATCTAAGTAGGATAACCTGTACAATCAGTGGCTTACAACATGCTTTTTGCCCCACTGTATTTTACTGTTGGACACTGAACCATTAAAGAAGTTAAATGGATTTAAAGCTCAGCGTGAAGCCACAAGCTGAGCCACCGTTTCCTAAAGAGCCTCACCAGGTGTTTACAGACGGGAACCTGAGCAGAAACTTCAGTTATTTCTCTACGTTTGTGCTGCTTTTGTGAGAAAAGCACCTGTGGTCAGACTGGGACTCCGGTTGGGTCTCTCCAGCCTCCAGCAGGTGGCGCCAGACGCACATTCAGAGGGGCTGAACGAAAGAGGCCCCAGAGTTCAGGTTTCACCTGATCAGTGGACATTACAGCTGTAATATTTCTGTAATGTTCATGCTAATGACCCAGCTGGGTGGCCTGTGGCTTTAGGGGCCAGTGGGAGGCCATCCGTCTAGTTTTTGTCCCCACAGACACTGATGTCTGGCAGGATTTCTGCCTGATTAAACCCAAACCCACTGATTCTGGTTTCTGGTGTGATATTAAGATGTGCAGACGACCTTTTCAGCCGAGGCTCCTTTCATGTCTGGGACTTCGCTGACCATAATTACAGATAATGCAGCCGCTCCGGAGGCTGCTTTTGTGTCTAAAGTGGGCAAAATGACGATCATCAAGGTATTTCTGGCTCTCAGCAGCATTATTAGATAAATCTCATTGAAATGTGTTGCTCATCTCATAATTACAATGATCATATGCTAATTATGGGCCCTGATGAGGCTTCTGTGGCGGCGGCCATTACAGGGGCGTCCACGCTCCGCTGGGGGCGTCGAGCTGGGCAAAAGGAGCTGGGAGGTGGTTCCTGTACACGCCGCATGGCAACAGCAGCACGGCCACGCTCACATGGCAACAGGTGCTTTGCCCCCCCCCAGAGGGAGGTCTGACCCTGAATGAGCAGCAGAGCAACTCTGTGTGTTCTTGTGATGTTAAAACTCTGCAGCCCAGGAGATGTTTAACACTGAAACACAATTATCATTGTCATCAAATGCAGTTTGTAATGATCTGTTTCACAAAAAAAAGGAAAATGTACTAAAGAGCAATGTTATTTCTGAGTTTTAGTGGCTGAATGTTCTCAGAGAGTTGTTGAAATTTGGGGAGGAAAAAAAGGAAACTGGGTTTGAAATCCTGATGAGCTGAAAAAGGTAAAACGACCAAAAACAGGCAGAATTTGACCAAAAAAAAAGACACAGAAACAACAACCAGAAAAAGCATAAAAAGACACTCCTGCTTTTCCCCTTTTCTTCAATTGCTCTGTTAATTGGTTTTAACTTGTATTTCAAAGGCAAAAAGCAATATTTAATTACACTTTTGAATTTGGAAATCGTGTGTTCAAATGTGCGTTTAAACCACTTTGTGTGCAAACGTTTCAAACACAAACAAACATGAACGTTTTCCAGAGATTTTCCCTTTGAGTCGCTCGTATTTCGCCACTTCCTGTTCAGAAATGGCTCCTTAGACACGTGCACGTGCATCACCTGATGTGCATGGAGCCATTTCGGTTCTCATTTTGAGACTTTTTCAGCATCTGTCCTAGTTTGAGTCTCAGTGGTGCATTCAGTTGCTGGAGGAATGCTGGGGCATTTGGGTTTTCATCAATTCAGTCAGATTTCAGACAGAAAGGCTGAAGTTGAAACTGTGAGTTTGGTCTCTGTGTGCCAACCGGGGAGCGACCAGCTGCTAACTTTCTCTGTAACCGTGTTCCCCCAGGACACGGCCCTGGGGAAGCCCAGGGAGGTGTTCTCCCTGGGGGCCGAGCCGGGCCGGGGGGGGGAGCGGGTGTGCCCCTCCCTCAGCCTCACCTCGGCCACCTGGGCTGCCCTGTCAGACGGCCACGGCCGGCTGTTGCTGCTGCGCACCGGGAAGAGAGGAGACGGCTCCCACATGAAGTGGGAGGTGAGTAAACACCCTTTTTTATTAGTAACGCAAGACACATTTCAGCACACTTCCTGTACAAGACGAATCAAAGTGCTTTACAAAGAATTTAAAAGCAGAAAGAAAAAGAATTAAAAAAATAAATTAGCCAGATAAAAAGTGAAGGGTGCCGATAAAATGCATTCAGTTTCCATCTGCTCAGTTAAACAGATGTTTTCAGCTGGATTTAAACATTGTCAGTCTCATGTCTTCAGGAAGACTGATCCAGATTATAGCAGCATGGACCTGAAATGAAACCTCTCCTTGTTTAGTTCTGGCTTTGGGCCCCAGCAGGAGACCAGAACCTGGTTCTCAGAGTCCGAGCTGGTTCATGTGGCTCTAACATGACAGAAATGTATTTCTGTGCTCGACCCTGAAGAGACCATAACACAAGCAGAGCTGTTTTAGAGTCTGTTCTCTGAGAAACAAGAAGCCAGAGCAGAGACCTGAGAACTGGACTGATGGGGTCCTGGTTCCTGGTTCTAAACTGTACTGATGTGGTCCTGTTTCCTGGTCCTGCTCAGAACTCCAGCAGCTGTTTCTGGATGTAGTAAACCAAGCCTTCCTGCTCTGCCCTCAGCTGCTGTTCAGCCAGGATCAGGGCGAGCCGTTCACCATCCTGCACAGCCTCTCGCACGTCCAGGAGGGCGTCCACGCCGTGGAGGTCCTGCTGCTGCGCGTCCAGAAAGACCCGCCGGACACCCCGGGAAGTGGCTTCTCTGTGTCTCTGGAGTGGATCACGGTGGCCAGCACGGCAGCACAAGGTGGGCCAGAGCTGCTCCGATAGCAGCCAGAGGCTTCACTGTAGGGTTTCCAAAAAGGAGGACACTTTGCCTCCAGAGGGATTCAGAGAGGCTTCTCAGATGTTAATGAACAGGCTTTATGATACCTCAATAGTACTGAAATAACAATCTGTAACAACCAGTAACACAATAATAGCCCTCCTTTAAAATACATAAATAAAATCAAATAATGTTCTAAAAATGACCTCCTCTGGATTAGAAAAACATAGCTTCAACAAAAAACCTCTTAATACCCTCTTAATGTAATAAAGGAAACAGTCTCACAATGATACAAACTCACAAAAAGGGTCTAT